TCAGAATCAGAAAGAAAAAAGTGTGTGTGCGTGTATATATATATATATATTTATTTATAATTATATAATTATAATTATATATAATTATAATTATAAAATATATATATATAATTAACAGTATACTGAAAGATGGTGTCAATAAGAAACTGATAACTTGTATCCCAAAGTGCCTTCCATATCTCAAGTGACACTCTGCAGAGGATTAAAAATGCTTAGTTCTGCTGTGACTTGACATGCTAGGTTGGGCTGGTATCCATGGGGGCCTCCTCTTCTCTAAGAAAAGAAAGGAGAAATAGAGGAAAGGGGTATGAGGGTGGGACTGGGAGAAGGGGAGAGAGTGGGGGCTTCCATCAGGATATAAAGTGAATAAATAAATTAATGGAAAATCTATTTTCAATAAAAGGAAAAATAAAACACACACACACACACACACACACACACACACACACACACACACACAAAACTGATGACTTATACCCCAAACTGCCTTCTATACATCAAGTGACAGTCTGCAGAGAATTAAAAATGGCTACTAGCAGCTGTGTGTCAAAAAAAATCCCTGTGTTACAGGGCAGGCCTAACGGAAGAGTCACTGGTAAACCCTTCCTAAATTCCTAAGCCATAAATCGTGGGATATAATAGATTACTGTTGCCCTAAGCACCAAAATAGGGGTTCTTATGCCACAGAAGTGAAAAGAGATGGAGTGCAGATGGCAGGGGCCTCCTTATTGGTGGTGTGTCTGTGTGGCCCACCCTCCCAGATGTCACAATGCTGCCGTTAATGTGTTCATTGGAAGAAAGCAGTTCTCTTCCAAATATCTGACTAGACCTGGTCCTCTAGGCGGCTTGGAAGGTGGCATGTGAGGGATGGCGCCTGGTGAGGGATGCCAGGCCTGGAGTGCTTAGCATTACTTCCATCAGGGAAGTCCCCCAGGCAGGCATGACCCAAGTGAGTGCACGGCCTCAGCAGCTGTAGCTGTCTGGGCTGTGAACCAGCAGCAGGTGAGACCTCTGGAGACGGCGGGACCATTGCTGGTGGCTGAGCTGCATCACGCTGGGGTACGGCTCTCATTGGAGGTCTCTGCCTGCCTGGAGGGACCACCGTGCAGGAAGGGGATTCAGCTTCCATATGGCGTCCTGAGGACAAGGCAGCTCCCTGGGTAGCCCCACTACATTAGCCCTATGGCCTACTCGGTAGTAGAATATTGAATGCGTACAACTACTAGACAGAATTTAAGTGCTAAATACTTTAAAGCTATGTTTGCTCATTCAGAAGAAATAATACCACCCCCACCAGAGGCAATTTGCCCCTTACTAAATCATTATGTTACCTAAAGACTAACCTGTAATAGGAAAGCCATAGAACATTCTTATCAAATTTCATATCAAATAATAGCTCATACTAGAGCCTCATTTAGAAAAAGCCACAATCACAATTTTGATTTAGAAATTCTAACAACTTGATAAACAATTTCTGCTGCCGCTAATACAAAGCTGGATTAGAATGAAACAAAAATATAAGCTCCACAGTTACTTTATTTAGAGACTAAATGTACATTATTTTAAAAATTATAATGTGCATATGACATATATGTGTAAATTTAAATATTTTGAATATTATTTTCTGTAGGTAGCACTTAGGTTCATTGTTAGAATTAAACATAACTATGTTTCTTTCATAAATACTAGGAATTATGAATTATGATTATTATTTTGTAGCTATTATTGGAAATACCTTCAAAGGCACCTGACTCTGGAAACCTTTGTTCATTTTTATGGGGTGCCTTACGGACTAATGTTGTGCGGGAAGGGCTGGCTTAGTGGCCTCTGGCTGTGAAAAGCCTAATATGCTGGCAGCAGAATGACACTCAGTGTCCTTTATTGGACAGGGTGTGGTGGCGGATGCAACGCTAGCTGTCTGGGAACTCAGACGACAGCAGGGTTGAGGGGGCAGAAACTAATGCTGGGAATATGAGATGTACCTGAACAGGTGTACCAAGGGCTCAGCTTCCCCTGAAGAGACTCAGCCACCATTCGGGGATCTAAAGTCTGGAGTCTAGCTGGGCAGCTGCCCCTCTGCCCACAGAGATCAGTGGCAACCAGCCCACATTAATACCTCAGTTTAGTATGGATGGTCCCTGTAAAGTATACTCACTTTTTAGGGTTCCTGGAGCCTAGCGTCCAGTACTGAGATAGAACATTCTTCTCCTGAGGTAGTAACCTTTTTGCCTGAAAGAATGAATGGTGCTCGACGCAGGATTTCCACAAGTTTTTGCAAGATCGGTAATTTAGCATGTTGAAGGCCACAATATGTTCCCTGGATTCAGCCTGGGAGGAAGAAGAGTAGAGATTTCACTGTAAAGACACAGGATGGTTAAAGTGTGTCAAGCTTGCTCCCCATATGTAATAACCAGGAAAGATGTGACGGAGGGAGGGAGCAACCCCTAGACACCTCAGACACACCCCAGTGTCCCAGGAATATTCTGGAGGAGGACTGTCAACCCTCCACAGGTGTGATGATAAAAAAAGACCTGAATGCAGGTCTCCTTACCATCTGGGGTCCTTGAAACTCTTGTTTCAAACCTGTTTACAGTTCAAGAGGGGCTTATTTGTAGCTACCAGCTGATGAATTAAAGCTCAGGCTTGGGAACATCCCTTCCAAACAAGCAGATAGTAGAAATGTTAAAATCCTGGGGATTCTCCATTCTTGCTCCAGGGTGAATTCAAGTGCTTATATATCATAAGCAATTTCACCCTTGGCTTGGCCTTCAGACTACCTGCATTTAGGTTTTCTGATCTCACACACATTTTGGAATATGCATCCTGACCCTCCTTGCACTAAGGCTGGGGCTGGGGCAGGCAGGCAACCCAGGTTCCAGTCCTTGGTACTCTGAGCTTTAGTGATCCTGTTTCTAAGGACCCATTCTCTGTGTGGGGCCAGTCTAAGGGCATATCATCTTTGAAAAGTTGGGAAAGGGACACAGTGACAGTCAATGACAACTATGCAGCATAACAAGACAGGGTGTGGTGTGGCAAGGGCAGGCGCCTCGGTTCAAATTCCAGCCCCTTCCCTCTGAGGCTGTGGAGCCTTGGCTTTCTCACTGCGCGTCCTTCTGCTGTGGCTAAGCAAACAAACAGAGTTGTCTAGGATCCTGCTGACTCCTCTTACAAGACCCAGGAACAAGCTATCAACCCTGGAACTTAGCCGTGGGATGCCTCCTCCTATACGGCAGTGGGCTCTGCCAGGTGCTCAGACCTTCTGTCTGATCCAGTTCCCTGAGCAGTGGACATTACTTGAGCTTCTACAAACAAGGTAATATGGGCTACGGGAGGTGAAAAAAACCTGCTCAGTTGCTAAGGGGAAAAGGCAGGATCTAGACCTAGAGCCTGAATCTAAGGCAAGTTCATTCTCCAAACAGAGACACCGACTGACTTATGGAGAGGACCACAGGGTCTGACGACCTAACAGCCACGGTGTTTCCTTCCTAGGACACAGAAAGCAATTCCCGAGGAACTGAGTGGGGAAGCCCCAACAACACGGCAAACCCAGCAAGCATGGACAGAACTCACCTGTTTTTGCCGCTGGTGTATGAAGAACTTTTTCCTTTTGAAAGAAATTTTGAGTATGTTCACCCTGTAAAAAGCAAAGCAAAACAAAACCACACATAGCACAGAAAAGAAAGCAAAATGCAAATCAAACACAGACATCAGGGCTCAGTCGGACATGGGTCCTCTGTTCATGATCCGGATGACCGCGAGCTTCTGGGAGTGTGCCTCACCAAACTCAGGGAGCTCACTGAGCTGGATCTCCACAGGGCCTCTGGATTGTGAGGCAGCTTTTAAATAACTAGGAGCATGGGCCATGCGCACTCTTTGCTGTAAGTCTCTTTGTGACACTAAAGCCCTGCAGGAGCTGATGCCTACATGGGGGAAGACAGTGGAGGGCAGTGTGGAGCAGAGGGAGGATAGACCTGGGTTGTGGCCCTGGCTCTGTTACTTAACAGCCACGTGTGAAAGAACCTCTTCATTATGTGCATGATATAGAATGAAAGGCACCAGTTGTCACCAAGTCTATTTCATATATCAGGCCACTGCCTTTGTTTGGACTCTGCAACAGTCCTGAACAGTATGTTGCTATCCTGCACTGGGTATCTAGAAGAGGAAGCTGAGGTCTACGTAATGATGTTGCTGCTGGGAGCCAGGCTCTGAGCTTGGGGCTGTTTCAAGAGCCTATGATCTTAGACCCTATGATATCTGCTAAGTGGTGGCCCATCACAGCCTTTCTCAGCACAGTCCTGTGACAAGGTTGATGTCAAATTCTTACTTTAGGATCTCTTCATTAAAACTGGTAAGTTTGTGTGTGTGTTTGTGTGTGTGTGTGTGTGTGTGTGTGTGTG